AGCCAAAGATATTCACCATCATCATTCTGTTCAATATAATATTCAAAACATTAGCCAAAGCAATCAGATAAAAAGGAAAAATAAATGGAATATAAAGAGGAAAGGAAGACATATCCCTGAAAAAGGAGATTGAAGAATTAGTGTTCCTTAATTGAGAGAATCAATTTTGTCAAAATGATCATACACATCCAAGCTTATATGTAGATATAATGCATTTCCAATCAAAATGTAAATAGCATTTTTCACAGAACTGCAGAACACAACCCTTGAATTCAGATGGAATCAGAAAAGACTCAGAATTGTAATATGGAACTTGAGCAAGAAGCAAAAGTCAAGAGGCATCGTAGTTCCAGATTTCAAGTTTCATTACACAGTGCAAAAATGGCATGATATTGACAGAAAATGGGACCATGAATCAGTGAAAGAGAAGAGGGGGTGCAGAAACAACTCCAGGCACATTCAGCTATCTGATCTTTGGCAAGGGTCAAAAATACATGCTAGAGGAAATACAGAGTATTTAGCAAATGGTGCTACAAACACAAGCTACTCAAACGCAGAAGACTGAATCTAGGCCCATTTTATGATGCAAGAAACGAAAATAAAAATGGATCAAAGATCTAAATCTTAAAGCATACATATTTATTCTGCTAAAGATAAAAACAGGTAAAAATCTTGGAGAAGCAGGTATGGGCAAGCAGTTTTTGAACAGAATTCTAATTCCAGCAAAGAGAATGTTAACAATGAACAAATAGGATCACATTAAAGTTAAGAAATGTTCTGCATGGCAAAGGAAACAACCAACAGAGTGAAAAGACAGTGGGAAAAATATTTGTCAGCTTCCTTGGGCAGAAGATTACTACCTAGAATATATAAAAGATTTAAAAATAAGATCTCCCCAGATAAAATACCCAATAAAAATATGCAAGTAAAATAAATGGTCACTTCTCAGAAGATGAATGTATTGTTTACATATACAAGAAAAAACATTTGACATTTCTGACCACTAGAAATATATAAATTCCAATAACACTAACATGCCATGTTACTCCAGAAAGAGTGGCTACTACCGAGAAATCAAATACTAAATGCTGGCAAGGTTTTGAGGAAAAAGAACACCTCTGTATTTATGATAGTAACATAAACCACCACAATTCCTATGGGAAATATTATGGAGACTATCACTTCAAAATAAATAGAAATTTCACTCAATCTACCTATTCCCCCTTCTAAGAATTTCCCAAAAGAGTTAAAGACAGAGTGAACCTTGCATACTCTCACTTATAGCATCAAAGCTCATAACAGCTAAATCTTGGAAGCAGCTTATATGTCCACCAGCAGAAGGGGCAGATAAAATGTGGCATTTATATTAAATGGAATACTATTCTGTCCTACAGAAGGATAAGTTTGATTCATTTGTAGGAAAATAGATGCACGCTGAGAACATGTTTTTAAGTGAAATAAGCCAGAAACTGAAGATTAAATATCACTCCATTTCTCCTATATCAGAAACCCAACATGTATTATAAACAAAATAAGGAGCAAAATAAAAGTTAATAGGAAACAGAGAGTTAGGTCTTTTGGAAAAGGAAGTGACCAAGACACTGAGAGGCAATTGGGGAATGGAAAGTAAAAAGAATTAAAATGTGGTATACCCATGTACTCACTCTTCATGATGAATGTAGTTGTTATGTAATGCAAACATGCATTAAGAAAAATAAAAGTTAAAAAATGAAACATCTTTAGAGGTAGAGTTAAAGATTTTAGTTTTGGATGTGCTGAGTGTTATGTCTACAAAATATTGATAATGGAATATTTGATCACCGACTGAATGCATAATTATAAAGAAAACGAGAAATACATTTTGCCATCAATAGTATGTGTGTAGTAATTAAAGTCATAGGTAAGACTGAGACTATCTAGGACAATAAATAGATAAAAAAGATTAAATGACCCAAGAGAGTCCTGGAAAATACTAAAACAAAAAGGACAATGGGGGAAAAAATCTCATGAGGTACTAAGACCGAGCATTCAAAAGTTGAACAGGGGTGTTTGCCCAAAGTCAAGAAAAAGGGAGTGTTGAGGAGGCTGAAGAAGAAAAGTGTGACAACTAGTTAGGTCGCCACTATATCTGGAAATCATCAGTCTTTGTAAATTTATGAAAAGTGGTTTTGTAAATGTAGGGTGGCAGAAATACTTTAGGGCCTTGAGGCACACGTAAGAGACTGACAGATAAAGAAATCATCATATATCACTACATGCATGGACATATTTGCAGTTCGTTTGTCTATCTCTCTGTCTTTCTGTCTATTCATCTATCTCTCTATATCTATTATCCATCATCTGTGTATGTACAGCGTATTTGTTAGGCCAGTTTTGAACATATTTGATATTTGATTCAATTCAAATTGTTACTTTAAACAGGGATTTGTGCTTTCAATTTTTGAGGGATATATAATCTCAATAAGAATAACATCAGATTTAAGAACAAGTGAATTTTTATACCTGTCATTTTCAGTTATTGACTGCAGACTTGCTGATACTATTTTTACTTGTCATTTGCAGAAAATATGTATTAAAGTTTTCCATGTGGAGTACTGAGTAGGAAATGGTTTTAGAGTGGTATTGATGTTTCTGGAAATATATATTTTTTTGATGTTCTGTCATTCCCATACTACTAAATCAGAAGTGGTGAGCCTAGGAAACATGTGCTACACTGGGTTATTTGTTATCATTGAAAGCTCTGAAAGGTTCCCTATCACTGTAGTATATCATGTGGGTAAAATACATCAAAGTTGTTCAGGGTACTGTGTGCTTTTCATCATAGTTTATCTAACTTGTGCAGACCGAATAACTTATATACAATTCCCATTCTAGGTCAGGCAAACAATACTGTGTAAAGAACACTTTTAATATTAGTTTCCAATTTAATGGGTTTCGCCCATAAGCTTTCTACAGTTTGTAACATACAGCCACTTCTAAGTATGCTTCACAATTTAACAGAAAAGGTCCTTATAAAATTACAAAGCAGGTGCTATGATAGAATTGGAGGTCATTTTGTATTATTTTATGCATTTTACCGCATCTGTTCTCCAGGTACACCAAATACTTAAGACTTTTCATCACATTTATTGCTTCTCTAGTTCCCTTATGATTGATATTTTCTTCAGACATATTTCTTTTTCACCAATGGTTTTTAAATTTCTCGCTAAGTTACCACAGATTGGGTCCATGGAGCAGTTGGCTGTGTCACACAATGTAGGCAAATATTGCAATGCGTTCTGTGTTGCTGAAACATACTGCCAGAGTTGAGTGTATGAAAGCCGATGTGTGAGCTCTGTACTCACAGAGCTGCCTGAATAGACATGGGAGAAGGGCACGAAATACAACGCACTTGACAATTTTCATGATATTGTGAAAAATACTTGTAAGTCCAGGTGAACTTTTCTTGTTAGCCAGCATTTATCTGAAGATGGCACAATGTGTAGATTCTCATGCAGAAATACTTCTTTGACTCAAGTGGTGAAACTGGAAAGCTGTCCAGTCAGGAGAGCCACTCTCTTCACATGTTTGCCAACACACAATCGCAGGTTCAGTTTTCCTATTTTTTCAACATGTATCATTCCAAGACTTGAATAGATCCACATCTGTGGTGTTGGGTGGCAACAAATATCCAAGTAACACATCCTTTTGCATCTTCCTTTGACAGATGTATCACACAAACAAACCAGGCATCATTGCCTTGTTGTCAACACTGGAAAACTGACCAACGTGGACTTAATACCACATTAATTTTGACAGTTGTGCCTCAATAACCTCTGCCATCTCATCAATTCATTTAGCTATGATGCTAGCTGAAAGAGGAACACATCTTACCTTTGAGCTGCTGTTTCTTCTAAAAGTTTGCAACGATGTCCTGAACAGAAGGTAGGATCAACTCTTCACCAATAGTGAAGGACTTCTTTGAGCTAGAAATGGGGTTAGATATAAAGAATAATGCACTCAATACACATACATTTGGTAAAGGTGTGACTTTCCATTACTGCTTCTGTTCTTTGTGTTCACCTTACTTTCTTTTGAAAAACTCCAAATGCTTATCTTTTAATATGGGTTGCTTGGTCTCACTATTTCAAAGTAGTTTAAAAAGTTTCATAGCTTCAATTTCTAGCTGATTGCTACTTGTTTTACAAAGCAGGCTTGGTAAATGAGCATCACCTGCTGCAATGAACCTATGATTTAAGTGAAACTCTAGTACGTACTTCCTTTTAAACTTAGCATCTGATTTTGGCAGTCTGAGAGTCTTTTCCTATCTCTTTACTTTGTCTTTCTTCTTTTTCAAAGAAATTCTCCAGGGACTTCTTTTTACTCATTTTGGGTAGACATAACTGCTATGCTTACTAGAGCTGTAACTGAATAAGTGTACAGTGCAAGAAGAGGCATGGGTGAAAATGCTAAATAAAATAATGGGCAGATCATGCATGGACTAAAGTAAATGTCAGATTCTGACTTGAAGCCTGCCACCACAGTCAGCTGTATTACTGAAATATGTAAATCCATGCCTCCGTAAAGCCTGCCACCATATTCAGCTGTATGACTGAAGAGTACAACTCATTTATCACTATGAAGCCTGCCTGATGCAGCTCAACTGTCACTTACTACTCATTGTTTGGGTTTCGATGAGTCTGCAAGCATTAATTTATTATGGTCTCTGTGTATTTAAACCTCTCTGTTAATGTCAATCTGTATTTGTAGTCATGTCCCAGTGCTAGCATCACTGCCTCAGCTCCACCTCAGATCATCAGGGTTAGATGCTCAAAATTAGAGCACAACCTAGACCTGCTCACATGCCCAGTTCATTCTGTGACAATCTAGTGCCAGTGCTGACCAACAGAAGTGGAGTTCAGTAGTCCATAATAGTAGTGGGTTATCCGTAGGACTGGCAATGTCAGAAGTTGTTGACTGGACCATGTATGTGGGAAAACCTATATTTTAATTTCATTGCAGTGCTTGCTTTGGCAGCACATGTACTAACATTGGAATGATACAGAGAAGATTAGGATGGTCCCTGTGCAAAGACAACATGCAAAGTTGTGATGCATTAAAAAAAAAAGAAAAAAATTAATTTCATTGCAATTGGAGCCACTTTTAGAGTTTTTGATTTTTTTTTTTTTTTTTTTTTTGGTGGAACCAGGAATTGAACTCAGGGCCTTGTACTTGCCAGGCAGCTTATTCTACTGAGCCATCTCCCCAGCACCAAGTTTTTGATAAATGAAGGTTTTACATTTCTTCAAAAAGAGCACACTGCTTATTATGTATGAGGAAGGTAAGGTAATTAATATATCTATGGAAGATATCTTATGATTCTGACAAATGCATGTTTGAGGGATTTTTAAGTATCTCTATTAGTTTGGTTTTGTGTTAGAAATGTAAATATTTTGAGTAACTGAAAAAAGTTGGAGTTATTTTTATTTATAACTGTACAACAGGAAATGAAAATCAAGTCATGTTTTCCAGAAATTGTTAGCCAAGTGTCACAATAGTTCTGAATGTTTTATTTACTGACTTGAGTTTTGGGATAGTTAATATGCTTTTCTATTTCTTACAATCTTTTCATGTATTTTACTTAACATATTTATTATAAAAGCAGTTTAATATATTAACACATTTTTAAATTTATAAGAGCAAAAAATCAGCATCCTACAGTAATCACTGATGTGTATATTTTAATGTTCTTTTCTAACATTTTTTATTTAAGAATATAATATTCAAAATGATTCCTGATATAATGAGCTACATTTGATGCATAATATTTACAAATAAAGGCTGAATTTTGTAATATCCTTTTAATAGAACATATCCATAATAAATTTCTTTACCATGGCTATGGGTAAATAAAGCTCACAGTAATGTGTACCTACTTGCACATGTATACACACACACATACACACATACATTCACTTAGCACCTGGCATTGTGGATTTGTCTACTTATGTTCTAATTCTGGTATCATGATTTTCTTATGACCTATGTACTTTAAGATTCAACTTTTTCACTTTAAAATTGAAACAATATTACCACAAAATATAATGTACACTGGGAAAAAATGAAAAATGATTAAAACAAATTTGTTTTTGTTATTCTGAAATGTACTTACCTAGATATTGATAATTTAAACAAAATTATTATAAAAATGATTTTAAGAATCTTGGCCAATTAGGGCATCCTTAATATAGCTTCTATCCTGAGTGACCTTTTGTATTCTAATTCTATTCAAAATTACATCTCAAGAAGTGTGTAAATGGAAATCTTTTTATGTGCCTGAATACCTGATTAATGTGTGTTCAAGCCATTAGCCTGCTGAAGTGAGTGACAATACATCATTTCAAAGAATTTATCATTTCATGCTCAACTAAATTCTACAATCAAGTTTTTGTAAAAGTTATTCTCTGTTTTGCCACTTCAGAATATAAATAATTTAAGGACCCAGATTAAAGACAAAATTAAGAAAATATTTGCATTTGTTAGCTAATAACAAAGCCATGTAGGTAGTAACAAAATATTTTGAAATCCTAATAAATTTATTTACAATATGAATTATGACCTATTCTAAAAAAGAGACAATAGGCATATAATATTAGTTTATTGATATAATTACTATATTTTAAAGTTAATGATTATTGTTAATATTAGTATGGCTAATTTACTTAGTGAACTTCATCATAGGTAATGTACATATGGACAACACTGTATATATGGATATATTGAGCAGCAAAACTGATTGTAAAAAAATATAAAAAAGTATTTGCAAGACAGTGTCTTGTTTCAAGATGTATTAACAAGGTATAAGTATCAATATTTTGCTGATCAGACTGAAACAAGACTAAAAATTGATAAATGAGCATAGTAGAGATTTCAGGAATAAATTTATCCTCATATGAAAAAATCAATTACTTTTGACTAAAATAAAATTCAATTCAGTGATTAAAATGGAGTTTTATAGACATGGGTGGTAAAACAATTGAATAGCCATAAACCAGAAATTAACAGGAATCCATATACTTCATATCAGATTAAAATTTAATTTGTAATGGGTCACAAACCTAAATGTAAAGCCTAATGCTATAAAACATATTTTGTATATATATATATATATTTTTTTTTTTCTTTGGGTCTGTTTTGAGACAGGGTTTCACTATGCTGTTCAGGCTGGCTTGAGCTCACTTTTTAGCCTATGCTGGCTTTGAACATCCGGTGATCCTCTTGCCTTAGCCTCCCAAATACTGGGATTACAGACATGCACCACCATGCCTGGCCAAGCTATAAAAGTTTTAAAATACAAAATTGAAATAAGACATGATTTTTGGTGAAATAGAAAGCTCACATACACTAGTGATACTAAAATGTATAAGACAACAGATGTATGCCTTGTAATTCTTAAAAATTAAAAATTTCTGGTCTGGCCCCCCGGAACCTCACTCCAGCAAGCACCCAGGCCCAGCAAGTGAGTGGGACTGCCTGAGGCCTGCCAAACTCTCACTCCAGCTAGCACCCTAGCCAGGCATGGGTGGAGTCAGATAGGCCCAGTGTGGAACCATGTGGCAGAACTCCCTGCAGAGAAGCGAGAGGCAAAACCCACTCAGCCGAACCAGGAGCAGAACATCTTTCCAGAGTGGCACAGCTGGTTCATTTTGAAGGGCTTCAGCAGGAAGAAGTGGAGCACAGTAGCTGGACACAAGCCACACCCATCTGGACAAGTTTGAACTTGGTAGATCCAGACCTGGTGCCAAGGTAATAATTGTACCAAAGTTCTACACCAAAGATCAGAATACAGTGCTATACAAAATGACAAAGAGAAGGAGCAAAATACATTCTCAGGCCCTGAGCCCACACAGAACAAATGCAGGAGACAATGGCATAGAAGAAATTGGAAAGCTCACGCTTGAAATCTCTGAAATAAGAGAAATAAGTGTCTGAAGTAAAGAAACAACTGCAGAAAGCTATACAGGAAATCAGATCAGAAATAATTACTGAAGAAAAAAAAAGAAATAATAACTATAATGAAAGAAGTTCTAAGTGCTTCTAAAGAAGACATTGATAAAAATAGACAATAGAAAAACAATAGAATCATTGAATGAGCAATATAGGAAAAAATATCCAGCACAAAAGTATAAAAATGAGGTATGAAAAGTAGAACCATATCAATATACTGATCTGTAAAAGATTCAAGCCAACAACTTCTGACATTGCCAGTCCTATGGATAACCCACTATTATGGACTACTGGACTATATTAGATTATTTCACTGAATTTATGCACCTACAATATTTTAATGGCATGGGAATACCCATGTCTGACAAAACTAAACAACATAGGCAGTTGAACTTAACCTTACCATCTGTTTGAATATCAAACATATTAGGCATAACATGGAACAGGTATTTTCCATCAAGTATTGATGTATTAAAATTTAAATCCCTCCAGAATATGAAGAAAAAAATTAAAAAATGAAAAAATATTTTAAAAATAGGAATAAACAGTTACATTTTTTGGTGGTACCAGGGATTTCTTTTAAACAGTTACATATTTTTAAACAGAAATTTAGAAATCTAACCAAATTCATCCTTGTAGCAGGACAGTCCTGTGACATTTTTTTCTTGTCTCTTGTTTTCATTTATTATTCTTTTTTTTAAACAAACATTTACTTGAGAGACAGTATGGCAGTAATTGGTATGTCCGTACAAGCAGTACGTATTTAGAAGACAAGATATACAGACATTCCAAGCATGACCACACCATTATGCATTGCTATCTTCAGTGCAGTTGCTTAGTTCACAGGTATCAGCATATATAATTAGTCAGGTTGAGAATCCTACCAATTAACTGCTAGTTTCAAAAACATGCTGAAGATTCTCAGGATTGTTGCCTTACCCATCTTGTGCATTTAAATGTATGGCTTTGCCCCTATCACGTTTCCTAGCTTTTTTTCTTGCCCTTTCTTCATTGTCTAAACGTCAACTTCTTGCTTTCCTTTTAATTGTGTTATACTTTTCTATTTTTATTTCTTCTCTGGAGATCTTATAGAAGGGAGACTATACAATATTTACACATGTAGGTCTGTATTTCACTTATGAGTATATCTTCAAGTGGCAATCACTTAAATATAAAGGCTTCGAGTTTATCATTCTTTATAGCTGAGTAATACTCCATGGTATAAAAACACCACATCTTTTTCATCCATTCTTCAGGTGACAAGCATCTTGGTTGTTTCCAAGATTTATCTATCATAAGTTGTGCTGCTATAAACATAGGTACACATATATATCACTACAATATGATGTTTTCAGGTCCTCTGGGAAAATTCCCAGTAGGAGGTTAGCTGTTTTTTTTTTAAATTTTATTTATTTAATTGTGTGTGTGGCCAACTCAGCCCACCAGGGGGCGGGGCTGGCTGGCATGTGGTGCTAGGGGATTGAACCGCAGTCCCTGTGCTTTGCTAAGCTTGTTCTAAGTAGGTGCTTTAGACCACTGAGCCATCCACCAGCCCCAGGTTAGCTGGTTTGAATGGGACTTCCAGTCCTAGTTTTTCAAGGATATTCCACACTGATTTCCCTAATGGTTGCACCAGTCTACATTCCCACCAGCAGTGGAGAAGGGTTCCTTTTTCTCCACAGCCTCTCTAACATTTGTTGTTGATTTCTTCATTATAGGCATTCTTTCTGGGGTGAGATGGTATCTCAGTGTTGTTTTAATTTTAACTTCACAGATGGTTAGTGATGTGGAGCATTTTTTAATATATTTATTCACTTCTTTAATTTCATCCTATGAGAAGTGTGTGTTCATCTCGGATGCCCATTTCTGGACTGGGTCTTTAAATTTTGGGGCTCCAGAGTTTTTTAGTTCTTTATAAATTCTAGAGAGCAGACCTTTGAGTACTTATTAGTAAAGATGTTTTCTAGATTTGTGGTTTTTCTTTTCACTTTGTTGGTAATTTCTTTTGATGTGCAAAGACTTATCAATAAGAGGAGGTCCCAGTTGTTAATTCATTCAAATACTACCCATGCAATTTGATTTTTGTTCATGAAGTCTTTGCCTACCTTCATGTCTTCAAGA